GTGCTGCCACCCTCCCCCCCAAATCCCCCCTTCCCCTGCCCTGCCTCAGACCCAGCGCCGTCAGGCCTGCGTGCAGAACATGTCATGCCCTGCTCCGTCGCCAGCATCAAGCAGCTCTTTGCTGGTATTTTAAAAGACCACCCAGGTGGAGATGAGAGGACATCTCCAGGCAAACCCGGAGGTATCATAACTCTAGCTTAGTTAAAGCACATAGCTGCTGCTGCAGGCTGGTCTCCCAGGGAGGCTCTGGGATGCTGGAAAGTGCTAATTTGGGCCTTGTTATGTGGTCGTTTTGAGTGTACTCTGAACCCCTGGATTGTCTGTGCGTTGATGCCTTAAAGTGGGTTTGAGTATTCTAAATTAAGCCACTTCAGGGCAGGAGTCTCTTGCACTCGTGCTACGCAGCTCCATTCCATTAAGGTGTGGCCACTCCCCAAAGATGTGCTGCCCCAGTTGAAGTTCTCCAGTATTTCAGGATTTCTCATGCCCCTGCCCATAGAGCAGGGGTAGAAGCTTCTCCTGGCTCACCAGTTCTCTAGTGGTAACTCAGCTACAGCTGCTAGTCCTGCCTCTACTCTCTAGGCTAAGGGTGGGCAATTATTTTGAGTGGAGGGCCGCTTACCCAGTTTTGGCAAGCTGTTGAGGGCTGCATAGGTAGCCCTGCCCCTGGATGGGTGCTTCGCCTCCTGGTCACCATCTTGGAACCAATGTCCCAATGTTTTTGGACCGGTGTCTCAGGGCCAGAACTGGGGAGGCCCAGAGCAGGGTGTAGGCTGGCAGGAGTCTGTGGAGCCGGGTTGGGCTGCACCAGCAGAGAGAGGGGGGAGCTGGCCCCACTCCATAGAGCTCCCTGCTGGCCAGGATCCCTGTACTCCTGCCACCCCGCTCTGAGCCCTGCCAGCACTGGCCCTGGGATACAAGTATGGGCCTTGTGCACCCGCTCACTCCCAGTGACCCCAGCCCCGCAGTACAGGTGGGGGGCAGCGTGCATCCCCGACCCCCCTCGTGGCAAGGATTGAGATGGTGCCGAGTTCAGGGGAAAAGTGGCCCCTCTCCCGCCCTGTGGCTGGCTCTCCTTGCTGCAGCCCCTCCCAGCCTCTGTGGGGCTCTCCTGAGCAGTCGCAGGCAGCCCCACACGGGCTGCGAGCTGCTGTAGCACGGGGCAGGCGAGGGGCTGCTTTTCCCGTGCTCCGCACCAGCTTGTAACCTGCCTCCACAGCCAGCCTGGGCCCCACACCGGCTCTGGGCTCTCCCACTGGGGCTGCTCTGTGGTGGCAGCAGCAGCTGTGGCCCCCCCGCTTGCTGTGCCGGGCAGTGTTTGCCACAGCCGCTTCTGGGTTGACCAGTGTGTGAGCTGCAGGCAGGCAGCAGCAGCAGCAAACACTGCCCAGCGCAGCAAGCAGGGGGACTGCAGCTGCTGCTGCTGTGTGCAGCCCCGACAGGCGAGCCCGAAGCCAGCGTGGGGCCCAGGCTGGCTGTGGAGGCAGGTTACAAGCTGGTGCGGAGCACGGGAAAAGCAGCCCCTTGCCTGCCCCATGCCTGGCGCCCTGCGCTGCAGCTGCTTGCTGCCCACGTGGGAGCTGCCTCCTGCAGTCCCCGGATGAGCTGTTTGCAGTTCATTCCCATGCTCTGCCCTGGCTTCCCATGCTCTACAGCACCTTCCCCTGGCTCAGCCCCACTTCCTCCGTCACCATGGGGACCTCGATCTGCCTCCCCCACATCCCTTCCCTCACCCCTTCCCCCGCAACAGACTTACCAGCCCAAACTGTTGTGGCATAACTATGATATATATATTTAATGCGTAAATAGTGCATTTCATGTTAATTAGTGTAGCTTGCCTTGTATCACATAATTGGCAACATTAAAAACAAGAAAAAAATATAAAAGGCTACGTGACTTGAAACTTTAAGACAGAAGGGGTACACTTGTTAAAAAAAGGTTGAAAACCCCTGCCTTAGAGGTCTTTGGATGGAGAGCAATGAGAAGTCAAAGGATGAACTTTTGCTTTATGGTACCTTTGCTGTGAAAAGCTTTAGAACAGGTGGGCAATTATTTTAGGCGGGGGGCCGCTAACCAAGTTTTGGCAAGCTGTCAAGGGCTGCATGGGTAGCCCTGCCCCTTGACAGGTGCCCCACCCCCTGGTCGCCATCTTGGGACCAGAAGTTCCATCCCTTAACCCCCACCCTTTGCCACCAGAAGTCCCTGCACTAGCCCCCTGAAATTATTCCTTTCAGCAAGGGGTTTTGCCATCTCAGAACCAGAAAATACCAAACTTTATTCTAAAAAGCAACTATCTACAACATTAATTAATTTGATTTAAAAAAATATTTTTGTCCTGGTTTCATGCATTTGTGTAGTGTACACAGAGATGATTGCAGAACAGCTTAAAATAAAGTCTTACTTGTAGACTATGGGGGGGTGGGTATAGATTTGTGGGGGGCTTTGGGTATGTGGGGAAGGGTGGATAGGTGTGGGACAGTGGGTGTGGGGTGATGGAGCATATGGTTGTATGTGTGGAAATATGGGGTGTGGGTGGGTATGGGGCTTGTGGGGGAATGTTTTTGGGGGGAGGACGTGTGGAGGGTGTGGGTATGCAGGTCTGTGTATGGCAGTGCAAGGAGGGTGTGGGTGCATGTGTGTGGTGGGGTGTGCTTAAGAGAGTTGCCCTATGAACACACACACTCTCCCTCACTGCAAACACACTCTGCTTCCCTCCTTCCCTCATTCTCCTTCCCTCATTGCTCTCTCTATCTCTCTACCCCTCCTTCATTGCACAGACATACACACTGTTTCTCCCACCCTCATTGCAGAGATGGAGGGACACACATGCATACTGTGTGCCTCTCTCACTACACACATGCACACAGCTGCCCCCTCTCACTTCTGGCCCCGGGGTACCGGCACGGCCCCGCAGTTGGGCAATGCACCCGGAAAGCTGTGACAGGCAGAGAATTCTGGTGGTGGGGGAGGGGGGTGGGGCTGGGCTGGCCTTGCTTTTGAGTCCTGCCGGCTTCCCCTGGGTCCTACTGCCCCCCATTCCTGTCATCTTTCACAGGCAGCAAGGAGCAGATAAATATTTATCTTCTAACCTTTTTAGGTGCCCCGCGGGCCGGATAGAATGGCCTGGTGGGCCGAATGTGGCCCACAGGCCATATTTTGCCCGCCTCTGCTTTAGAACCTTAAACAATTTGTGCAAGAGAAACCATTTTTTCATTTGAGTCCTACCTGGAAATGTTTAAAAAATCTGTGTGGGGAAAGTCTAAAGTGCCAAACCTTTTCAAAATGTAAACTTTTATTTCAAAATAGTTTCTCTTTGCCCTGGTTGGGAGAACCTTCCTATTATGAAACAATAATGTGCAAACTTCTTTATTTTTAGGGGAAATGCTGTCACTGATGTTTATAGTTTGGTTGTTCTCAACCTTTTAGACTGGAGTCTCCTCTCCATAACTTTTGCGAATTGATCACCATCCCATTTAAAAATGTAATGTATTGGTTGTAGTGCTTAACTGTTTGAAGAGAGGCTGGCGAGGAGGAAGAGAAGCTGGCAGGAAAAGCTTGCATTTAATGCCTCAGTGTGGACCTGTGGGAGGGACTCCTAATTAAAATTAATTAAGAGTGGAGGGGTGTTAGATCTCTGCTAGTGTTCCCAAGGTCAGGTGGGGATTTAAAAGGGTAAATACCAATAGATATAGGCTTGCATCCCAGCCCCACCTGCAGTACATTAGTTAAGAACACATCAAACAATATTAAACCCAGGAAGCGACTATCCATTACCAACTGACCTTACTGGTAAGAAGATTAGCAAAGTCTTCAGGCCGAAATCGAATAAACCAAGGGTAACTGCTCTTCTTTCTGGGAATGATCTCCTATGGCCCTGACCCACTCTCTCTCTCCCTCTCCCCCTTCCTCCCCTACACTACTATTCACAACTTATGCACCATAACTCCAGTAAACATGACACAACTGAACCCACCACTTGAAATATACACACTCACCCACCAAACGTGTACTGATAGTTGCACACCCAGGCACTCAT